GTCATAATCAGAAGTGCTCAATTCAATTGATGATCTCAGCTGTCACAAACAATCAAAGTCCACATATCTGGTTAACAAATGCACTGGAACCCAGAATAGTTGTTGGAAGCGATTTAACAAGAAGAATCAGTATAAACCTGTTCACATCTTTCTTCAATGGCTTTCTTGTCACCAGCCCCATCAAGAATAACAGTGTCATCTTTTGATATTGTAACCTACAATACCAGACCATGCAAGTCATAAAATATTTCAACTTATTTAGAGCAGACATTGTGTCACCAAGATTAGGAACATATGCTAACAAATCACTTGACATATCTCACCCTTTTGCAGGTTCCAAGTGTTTCTACTCCAACTTTGTCAAGGTTCAGACCAAGCTCTTCAGTTATTACCTAGAACCCAAAAAAAAAAAAAAAAAAGGGAAAATGAAAACAAAGCAGTTCACATGTCAGTCTCACAATAGCTTAAGGTTTTCAAGGAAAAGTGAAAACACAGAATGAAACTACCTCGCCTCCCGTAAGAATGGCTAGGTCCTGCAAATTTGCCTTCCTGTTTTCTCCAAATCCAGGGGCTTTAATTGCACAAACCTTCAATCCATTAACAGAATCGTATCAAAACAATGAAATAATAGTCGATCAACAATTTTTGACAGTGGACACAAAGTCAGTAGATAATAGAAAATACAAGGATCACCTTAATTCCAGCACGAAGCTTGTTTATAATGAGTGTAGCAAGTGCTTCACTTTCCACATCCTCAGCAACAATCAAAAGAGGTCTTTGCTTCTGAGAACCCATAACAAATCAGTCAAAGCAATAAGAGAAGTATATCCACCAGATTTCAATAATCCCCTCAGAGAAATACTTACCTTCAATGCCAGCTCTAATATTTTCACTATCGAATTTAGATTTGAGATTTTCTTCTCATGGATTAAGACGAGTGGATCTTCTAATTCCTGTTAAAATTAAAACATCCAGTTATCAATCACAATGGAGCAGCTTCAAAAAAAGTGGGATAACTAAATAATCCCAAGATAACTTAAAGAAAAAGCCTTCCAACTGAAGAACCATGAAACATAGGCTTATAATAAAACAGTGACAAATAATGAAAAAAATGCTTACACATTTTTGGTTCTTAGGATTGGTAATAAAGTAAGGGGATATATATCCCCTATCTAGCTTCATTCCTTCAACAACCTCCAATTCATTATACAATGTTTTTCCATCCTGAAGCAATTCAAAAGCAAAACAAAATTCACATCAGATGCATATAGAGAATGAAGAGAAGCTCTACTGTGCCCCACCACATGCCAGAATAAGATACCATGCACAAAAAATGATTGAAAACAAAGGAACATTCTAAGGAAACAACTTACAGCAATGGTAATAACACCCTCTTTGCCAACTTTCTCCATAGCCTTAGCGATTAGTTCACCAATTTCTCTCTCTCCATTAGCTGATATGGTCCCAACCTTTTCAGGAAAAAAAGATTTCATAAAAAACGTCATTATAAAATTTAGACATTCATATTATTTCTCTCAATTCCCAAATCAAAACAAACCAGACCTGAGCTATTTCTTCAGATGTGCTGATCATCCGAGCCCTACTCTTCAAGTTTGTCACAACAGAATCAACTGCCATTGAAATGCCTCGTCTTAGGTCCATTGCATTCATTCCAGCTGCCACTGATTTGCATCCTTCAGTAAATATAGCGCGGGTGAGGACTGTAGCACAAGTGGTACCTGCAAACACAAATAACAACCTTCATGTCACTGTCTTCCTGATCACCCAAAGTTTTACAAACACTTTTACATAGTGTATGGAACTCTCACCATCCCCTGCAGCATCATTGGTAGCATTTGCGACCTGCTTTACAAGACTAGCACCAATGTTCTTGACTTTATCTCTGAACTCAATGCTCTTTGCTACAGTGACACCATCCTTTGTCACTTTAGGGGCCCCAAAGCTTTGTTCCAGAACAACATTGCGTCCCTGTGGAAAATCAAGCAATAAGTCAACCATTCGAAACAACATCAATGCATCAACAAGATGTAAATATAAGCATATGACAACTAAACGCAAAAAATTACTATCAATATACACATCAGTGTTCCAAAGTCATAGCACGCAATCAATCAATAACAAATAAATCAAGAATGACAAAGCCACTCACTTTTGGCCCCATTGTGACTTTAACAGCATCAGCGAGCTCTTCCACACCCTTGAGCATCAATGCCCGGGCTTCCACACCGAATTTGATATCTTTGGCCGCATAGTTCCTTCTCGAAATCAAACTACTGCCAATCTGTACAGGAAAAAAAAAACTAAGTTACATCAAAACACAATTAAACAATACCAAATCACTACTTTAAAAAGGAAAAGGAAGAATAAGCACCTGTTGGGTACAGTTCCTAGCCAACCTACAACCCCAAATCAATAAAAAATGAGAAAAATGAGAGAGACCCAGATGAGAAAACAATTTTAAAAAGTGACTTCTGGCCACAAGTCGGAATTTTTAAAGAGCCCAGATGCGAGTACCTGGCTTTAGAGGCGAGGCTGCCGGCGAAGCGGTACATGATGAACTTGCAGAGAAGAGAGAAAATAGAATGAGAAAGTATGAGCTCTCAGGTAAAAGAAAGAGACAGAGAGAAGGAGAGTATAAATTGTGGAGCAGAGAAAAGTCTAGAAGGAATTGGTGTATGTTAGGGTTTAGGGTTTTGGAGGGTTTGGAGAAGGCATGATCCATTTACTAAAGCCGAAAGCCACGGACCCTTCTGTTGACAATGCTGGACTGTGGGCTTTCATTTGGACCCTCTGTAGACCAATTTTCTCTGACCCAATATTTTTCTCGGGTCGGATTCTCTAACCCAATATTAATAAAGCTGAATTTTTAGTCCAATGAAATAAATAATTTCGTTCAAATTATTAATCTTATGATCTTGTTTTTATTTTATTTTTTAAGAACATATCATTTATTTTTTAGATGAGTTGCTCTCCTAGATTTTATGCATGCAAAGACTTTCTGAATGCTATACTATGCATGAAAACCAACCTCATTTGGTAGGAAAAAATTTTTTTAATCACATTTGTCTCATCAAATCGCAGACTTTTTTCGTGCCAAAAGATTTTTACAAGAAATAATTTACCATTTTCTAACAACTAATTAGATTTTCTTGGAATAATAGTAATTAGGAGCCAAACCATTCCACCAACACACCAAAAGGAACAAAGTGTAAGAAAGTACAAGGAAGAGGAGGTAAAACTTTCTCATATTGATTACATGAAATTTTTTATGGGAGCTTTGAATTGTTAATTAATCACATCCTCCACAACATCTCAAGAGCTACTTGATGGTCAGAGGATAACATGACCTTTCTGTTTTGCTTCTTAATACTAATCCATGAAGTTCAGACATGGAGATTAACCTTATGGAGGATGGCAACAAGCTTATCAGGGGTTAATGGTTTCTCTTGGTAGTCATCTAAGCCTGCCTCTATAAATTCTTGTGTGTCTTCACTGAGGGATGAGTGTGACGAAACGCCTGCGATTGTGCTCCGAATTCCCATTGCACGCAGTGTTCTTGTTGCCTATAATTCAAAAGACAGCAAAAACAAATTCAGAAACATTAACAAGCAACATCAGTTGTGAATTTTGTGTCTTTATTTTACTTAATTTCATACCTCAATGCCATTCATGATAGGCATGTCCATGTCCATGAGAATAAGGTCAAAGTGTTTTCCAGAGCAGTGGACATCAATGGCTTCTTTCCCATTCCCCACAACTTGGTTTTCTATGCCAAGATTTTCCAACAGTTTGTGGTGAATTCTTTGGTTGATCTTGCTATCGTCTACAACAAGTGCAGTTATCTTGGTTGCTGCCTTTGTGTTCTTCAACATTCTTTCCCTTCTTGGTTTATTCAGAACCCACAAACTTCTTTTCCTGCATACACAACAGCCAGTGTGAGAAGCTTGCGTTAATTTGAGGCAGGAAAAAAGAGATCTGTATATACATAGAGAGAAAAGAAACCAATATATTTTCAGCATTATGTCCCAGAGAGGTTACTCTTATGAGTGAGAGAATTTGGAGCCATGAGAATTCAAATTACTTCCTCATTATGAGCTTGAAAACCATTGGTTAATTGTTATACCTTGGAAAAAGATGAACTGAATTGCAGCAAACTTGAGAAAGAATTAATGTCTTCAAGCAAAAGGGTCAGAAGGTACCTTAAGATGCTGCTGAAGACAGATATTTCCAGAGATTAAGAATGGTGTTTCTGCTAATTCTCCTTCCCATGCTGCAATTTCAATCGACTTATAAAAAGCAGCAGCAGCAACTGGAAAAAGGATACTCCACAACAAAAACAAAAACAAAAAGAAGGAAAAAGGATAAAAGTGGCCATGTGGGGATACACAGAGTATCACTAGGATTTAATTGAGAATCTGAAAATCTAACAATGGCTGATTTTTTCCTTAATTGTTGATATGCAAAAATCAGACGACTCTGCCTTCTTTCAGGTCTTCTTTGCAAAATTGAAATATGGATGACAGCAGCAAAGGCAAAAAGGTTGAGGCTACTAGCTCTCTTTTTTTCACCCTCTAAGTTCAGCATTTAATAGCCCCAAATTTGTTTTTTTTTTTTGGGTCTAATTTAATAACCCAAATTAAAAGTAGAAAGAAACTTATACCATGTTATCCAACACGGCACACAACTTCCATACTATGAAATATTACCTTTTTTGGTTCACTTCTTAAGGAATCATATTAGCTTCTCGACTGCCAAATCAGTGTCCAAATTCGTTGACATTGTAACTTTGCAATCAAGAATCTTGTTTATTTATAAGATCTATTCTCTTTGCTTACAACAAAGACTCAAAATCTAAAACTTATCGCTTTACCCGTTTTTCCGATTACTTTCTAACAAATTGTTTTACGAGCGATATTCATGACGTATAGACAGATTGAGTGTGAGTGAAACACGTGATAGGTTGTGTAAATAGTAACGTTTTGAGCGTTTGAGTGCAACACGTGATGAGTCATGTTAATAGTAACGTTTTAGATGTGAAAGTGGAACACATGATAAATCATGTAAATAGTAACGTTACGAGTAAAAATTAAAAATAATAATAAAAAGTGGTAGGTTTTTCAATTCCATGCTGACCCAACTTTGAAAAAAGATATACACAATTATGCCCGATCATTATGTGACATAATGGTGATGGTTATATGTCACTGTAATTGGACTAAATAAACATATTGATGCCAGAAACAATTAGGCACCTGAAAAAGAAATAAACTGATCTACCCGTGATCACACATAAAGTTCATAATTATTGTGATTATAATTAGCTATCAGGATGTACATACATATACATATATAGATATACTTACTTAAACTGGTTATATGTTTTAAGTGAGAGAGCCAGCATCACATGGGGATACAGAGAGAGAGAGAGAGAGAGAGAGAGAGAGACTCTAAATTCTATGGGGCACAGACTACACAGAACAAGAATCTTTTGGAGATTTTGACGTGATTGTGTAGAAGTCTAGTAGATAGTGAAGCTTTGAATGATTGTACCAATTGATCCCAGAATGTCATGCCCGCCTGTCTTTCTCTCTCTCTCTCTCTCTCTCTCTCTCTCTCTCTCTCTCTCTCTAAATATTTTCCACGTTTCACCAATATGCACCAAAACTTAAATTTAGAGCATGGTTCATGTGTTTCTTGTAACATTCTTTTTAAGAGGCCAACACACAAGTTTGATGCTTTCTTTGTGTCTATTTCAACTTGGCAAATCTAAAACCAATTTGGCGGTAGCATATATAGTTTTCCATGATGTGTTCCTTGTTACTTGCAGCATTGTTTTTCAGAGGCCAAGCACACATGTTTGATACTTTCTCAGTGTTTGTTTATTTGTTCTTCAAGGGCAAATCTAACACCAAATGCAAGAGTTCAAAGAACTCTATTTTCTTCAAATGCTACTATTATGATGAACTTTAGTTTATAGGACAAGGGGCACACCGGCCTTCCAACAAGAAATCAGAAAGACAGTAAGAACATAAGACCACTTATTAAGAGAGTCCTCTGCTTTGGTTTGATTATTTGCCTGGCCCCCGGCTACCCCTAGTTTTTGAGCTCTCGCAGGATCGGAACAAACTTGGATGGACTAAAGGGCTTCTGAGATTACGGTAACTTATCACCACCAGCATCAAGAAATGCATGTTCCTCTTCCTTCCTGCATAAAGGAGGAGTTGTACCTCAAGCATCAAGAGGGAGGCTAGAGAAGGAAATTTAAGGGCTCGCCAACAAGCACTTGAAGTTTTATAATTCTTTGCTGGTTTGCAGGACTCTTAGCATAGGAACCAAAATTGTTTTCACATTCACCTTTTTCGGGATGAATTTGTTGCATGAGTGAGCGACTGATCATATTGTTAGGAATAATTCTACACTTCTATTTGTGGTACTTTTCTCTCCTTCAATTGTTCAAAGTGTTAGGAATAATTCTACACTTCTATTTGTGGTACTTTTCTTTCTAATGTTAAAAGAGGCCGAGTTTGAATCTCCCTCCCTCGTTCATTTTAAAAAATAATCGTTATCAATTTTGTTGTTGCTGTTCATCATTCTGGTAGTTTCTTCAAAACTCATGCAATATTGTTCTCATTCTTTCCCTTTTTCTGTTATAAATTTTTTTCTTTTCGGGTACATTCATCTCGTATAAATGACTAGACATAAGAATCCTTATGCCTTGGTTAGGGCTCATAGCCTCATACCCAACACATAAAATGGCAACGAGAACACCGAATATATGAAGCTCATTTCGTAACAACTTTCATTGAATGTTAATTCCAAAACCTTTCTTTTTATATATAAACGCTGTTTGGGAAAATTTTAGATTACAATATGTGCGCTGTAACACTAATTGTTTCCCACAAAATGCACTCTCTACCTCCAAACCAGACACGCATGAGAATTTGAAAAAGAATAAGAAAATACAAACATGTGAAATAAAATTAAAAAATACAAGTCAAAATGCATTCACACAATATACAAAATACACAACAGATGAACGAGGCAACCACCCAAACCCACAATTCGTACCTAAATGAACCGATCCGCTAATCGTGGTTAGTGTCTATCGGCGAGCCTGTCCTCGCCTGCGAAATTCGATTCGCATATATAGTCACCAACCGTAACTGTGTGATGTTGAGCCCCTCCAGGTATGGCAAGAATGCTTTTCCAAGCATGATATATATATCGACTAAACAGAAGACGACAGTCTGCACGACATAAATGAAACAAATTCAGTCCCATTAGAGTAGGTCTGGGCCTTTATGTAATTTAAGGGATACGGATCAGACAAACAGTAACCGTTACCTTGCGAACATCAGCACTCTGGTTTCCGAACGCTTCAAAAAGTGCAGGCAAAAATGATGGTAATCGAGCCATTAGTTCATCTTGTGAAAGCCGGCCTACAAGCTGAAGAAAAGAACAAGTGGCTTAGCAACATATTAGTTGATTAAATTGCACACAAAATTAAAATGGCGATGCAAAGTTTTTTTTGACGAAAACAGATCACTTCTTTCATCTGGAATAGAGTTGATTGTAAGATGCTCAAGAAAGTTTCTAAAAGGACCAGAATAAATAATAAATAAAAATAAAAACCCCTCCTAAACTAAAATTTATGTGCAAAATTGACAGTCACTAGAAACCAACTACTACAGCTCCAATACATGAAAGT